GTGTGGGTTCGAATCCCATCAGGCGTCTTACCTTGTGTCCTTGGGAATGGCACTTCACAGGAATTTTCCCGACTTCGGCTCTACAGGTTATTTGGAGATTAGATGATACTACAGTATCAGTACCACTAGCGGCCAAGAGCGTACTTTTGAAAAGTTATGATTTCACGAGAAGGAAACTATGATCATGCATGATTTTATTTAAAGCTGAGACTGTGAAACATTGACAAATTGTTCGTACCACGAGGTAGCCAGCAGCCCCAGATGCAGCTGTCATCTAGTCGAACAGGAAGTTGCCCTGCCCTGACTGCCGCCAATATTAGGCACGAAAAGCCAATACCATTGAGAAAATGAGCTAGTACGCTTTGCAATATCAGAGGCTCAATATGAGCGCATCAAAAGATGTATCCTAGAAGGGACTGTAACTGATGACTTTTCCTTTTGACGCAAAGAAATAGTATCTGAGCGACAGAGATTGAATAGAGATTTTCTTCTATTAGAAATGTAACAAAGCAGGAAAAAATGGAGCTGCTAACGACAGTTATGTTTAAAGAATATTTTTCCCCTGTCAAACAAATTAAAAAAAAAATGTTTCATGTCACAAACGACACAATTCAGATATTCTAGGAGGGTTGCTGCTTCGACAGTACTTGTTAGAGTCTTGCCAAAAAGTCTGAATCTGTGAGTACAACATCTCAGTAGACAGAGACAGATCCTGGATAAAGTAACTTCCACATAGCGGGGATCAAAATCGCATCCTTTGAGAGCAAAACTAAATAGCCTAACCATTAGGTAACAGACTCCGATGCACTTACCAAAAAAAACAACCCATTAATATTTTTTTTTCCAGTTGTCGCTGCCATCGAATTAGCTTTTAAATAATATGATATCAGTACATCGATGGGAACATTTCGAATATGATTTTTGAGTCTTTCTTGCAGATTGTCCAATTAGACATGGAATTGTTATTGACCTCCACGTTTTGTTTACCAAGTTGATTGATTTTTTTAAAGCGCATTGATCAGTGCACCAATTGCCTTTCAACAAAATGAAGTGTATTTGAAAATTGTCATGAACTGACCATTAATTCAGGAACGGAAGTCCCGCCTATCGTCTTGGCCATTTCAGTACCAGACCCAGAAAACAGTATGGGCATGTTTTTTGGGGGATAAAATATACCCCAGGGTGTTCCCGTAGATACGTGGTTAGTGAGATAAGGCTTACACACAATGTCAAGCCAAGCCAATGACATTAGGATCAGGTGGGCGACCACTGGGGTGTGTCACTAGCTCACGTTAATCCTGGCTCAAAAGCAGGGCGCGGCACGGCAGTGAACGGCCATGACCTACGGCGTGTGATGTAATGCTATAGCAGGTGTCACAAACTTGCGGCCCGCGGGTAACTGAGGCCTGTAGGGCGTTATTTTACAGATCTTTCTCAACATCAAAGTTCTGTATTGGTTCGGCTCAAATGTGGTTCAGCTATGTAAAAGGAAGCGCTGCCACGTCTAAGGTAGCATGATGTGGGCACAAAAGCCCATGTTCTGAAGAACCCTTCAACTTCTGAACTACTGTTTATAAAGACGGAGAACAATTATATCAGTAACTACTTTTTGTAAACACTTGAAGTTTTTTTTTTAGTGGAATATAAATAATGGGGCCCTGGCTGACCCACGCTTTACTTTCAGTGGTCCTCGGGTAACTTTGACTGGTATGCAAGCTCTTTAACAACAGACACACACACACACACACACACACATACACACACACACACACACACACACACACACACTCACATCTATCTATTTATCCATCCATCCATCCATCCATCCATCCATCCATCCATCCATCCATCCATCCATCCATCCATCCATCCTTCCATCCATCCATCCATCCATCCATCCATCCATCCATCTATCTATCTATCTATCTATCTATCTATCTATCTATCTATCTATCTATCTATCTATCTATCTATCTATCTATCTATCTATCTATCTATCTATCTATCTATCTATCTATCTATCTATCTATTACGGTGCTCAAACTGAAGTTCTATTTCGGTTCGGGTACTCTTTACACAAAATCCCCTAAGTACGAAGCTTTCATAACCAAATCGTGTGGAGTATGACAGTGGCCTCAGCTAAGCACTGGCGATTTCATAATAATAATATTAACCTTACATTGGATGACCAGACGTGAAGATTCATTTTGTCATTGCGTGTCCAAAGTGATACCAGCCACACTGGCGATCACATCGTAAAAATTGTTATGACAGTGAAAACAACATAACGATTCTGGAATCACAGGAGTGCCATTTTGTGCCCATGTTTTAGTTTTAGTAAGAGATTTACTGAACTTACAGCACAATAACGTTATAAAAGTAGGCCTAAGATTAGAGGTGTTACAAGATAATACCAAACACACAAAAAAAGATAAGGATGATAGATGTTCGATAGGAAAGGAGCAAAAAATAACCGGAACACCTGTCAACCACCAGCCTACTAAATAGGCTCACCCCAAGACCTATGTCCCGACGATGTAGCCCTCGGCTTGAACTTCTTTTTCTGCTCCAATGAATCTTTTTCTGCCCGGTGTAGGTCCTGCAACAAATGAATTATTTACACTTCCCATTTACTCGAGGAAAGCATTACATGGCATGGATCTGCAAGGAATATAAACCTAATACATCATCATCCGGTGTCTTGCCGACTGGCGTGGGCGATCATGGCCCTCCGTTTCATCTAATACGTTTACTATTAAATACTAAAAACATAATCATAATAACAATAACTGCATCAACAACAGCAATGATTATGATGATGATGATGATGATGATGATGATGCTGATGATGATGATGATGGTGATGATGATGGTGATGATGATGATGATGTGATGATAGCGCTGGTCGTGGTGTTAATAATAATAATAATAATAATATTAATAATAATAATAATAGTAATAATAATCATATAATAATGATAATAATAATAATAATAATAATAATAATAATAATAATAATAATAATAATAATAATAATAATAATAATAATAATAATAATAATAAGAAGAAGAAGAAGAAGAAGAAGAAGAAGAGGAGGAAGAAGAAAAAACTACAATATCACAATTCTGTATAGTGATACTACTACTACTACTACTACTACTACTACTACTACTACTACTACTACTACTACTACCACCACCACTACTACTACTACTACTACTACTACTACTACTACTACTACTACTACTACTACTACTACTACTACTACTACTACTACTACTACTACTACTGCTACTACTACTACTACTACTAATTCTACTAACGACAGTTACAACAACAACAACAACAACAACAACAACAGAATTTATCATCACACCATTAAAAAATGCTTAAAAAATAATGGGAACAGACAGAGGACTGTTCTTGTTACTATTTGATGGCGCTGCTCTTCGAATTTTTACGGGAGTGTCGTCAATTTACTTCTCAATGTCATACTGTTGGATTTGAGTACTTTCCATGAATAACATTCTTTGTTTTGCTGTTCACTCACCCCCTACAATGATATGATAACTTAGAATTACAAAGTCTATCTGACATTTTCTGTCGTTTGGAGCTATTGAGACCATGAGGTCAGAAACTAACCTATCTGCTCTATTGAAATCGTAAGGTTGATAGGAGTCGTTATCAAGATATTCAAAGAATTGCATTCGAGAAAATAATTCTGAGGTAGCGAATCACATTTCGTCAAATGGCATTAAAGTCTAATCAATTTCTATCTGTTTGAGGTATCTTAAAGTACGCCGTAACTCTGAGACTGAAATCACCTTTAGAAGTCCTTGGTACAATGTCATTCTTGTTTTGTTGCAATCAATGTCCTCCATCTCGTACCAGGTGGTGAGCATGTGATGTTTGATGACCCAGTTCAAACCGCTCTCGTTTTTTGATAGGAAAAGGCCCCCAACCAGTATAGGATTCTTCAGGGATATGTTAAAACCTGCTTGAGGAAGAATAAAAAAAGAAAGGAAGGCAAAGGGTTATAACTCTTTCGTCTTGGGCTGGGACCACATGGAATCTGCATGTTGGGGCGGGGGAGGTGGCTGGGTAAGCTAATCAACTAAACATGATACTGCCTGTGTTTCCCATTTTCACAGCTCCTACCGTGACATGCAAGACTCCAGTTTCTAATTCTACCTGCTTACCTGTAGCAGAAACATACAAGCACAAAGCTACTGCACAGGGTATACAATGTATAAGCTATGTTGTCATCGTGCACATCACACTTGTGCCCTTCACGTGGAAGGGTCAAGCTCAATTATGACACCACAGATACCAGTATGCTTAGACTTGCTCACCAATTGTTTTTGGCTTTTTAAAAAACCACGTTCTGTTATATTTCACAAATCAAAGTAGGACATAAAACTTGTGCTGTGCCCTTTCATAGCCAAGTATGAAGATGACAGAGTTCTTACTTTTCAACCTACAACAGCGTCTGGTCTCTCCTTCATGAGAGTAAATGTAGAGGACAGCTAATAGCATAATACAGGCATTTTTATACCTCAAAAAACTGTTTTTTGAGGATACCTCGGGGTTCCTCCTCCGAGTAATTGATATTCTCCTATTTAATTGTATGCATGTGACAATGGCAACACTGTCTTCAAGGTTGGTGGTTTGATTGTAGAGCTCCTTATAGCCAGACTCCGATAATAAGAGTTTGATAACCCCGTCGGGAAATTCTTTTTTCGAATATCTCCGGTGTCGTCCTCCACTCATCAGGAGTTGGCCTTTGCAGATAGAGTCGGAGCAACCAGCTTCTTAAACTATCAGTGATTTGTCGAGGCCGAGGAGGGTGTAAAAGATCAATAATCAATCAAACATTGCTTTTCTGATGCATATTGTAGAAATAAATAAGATTATCTGACAAGAAAAATACCAAAATAATAACCACCAGATTCATGTTACTGTGGGCAGGTACGATATACGTAAACTATTGTGTTTTATGCGTTTCGTATGATTCTATACCGTTAATAAATTAATAAAGCCCAGACACAACGAAGTCGGGATAATATTTTAGCTCATCAGTTTATGCTCTATTCGTAACAATTCTGTTGTCATCGATGTCAATGCATTTCAATCTCTAAAGCCTTGATCGTAAATGCTAATTATTATGGATAATATCACATGCTCATTGCGTGCTTTTAATATGCATGGTAATTGAACAACTAATACAAAATAAAGGATCCAGGACATTTACCAAGTCACCACAAATTAGGCTAACATGTTACAATAATTCTGTAAGCAGTAGTCAACATTTTCATGCGTACTTTATATATTAATCAGTTGGTGTTGATAGGAATGGGCAAGGGAAAAAAAGGGGGAAAATTTATAATTATGCAGGACCGACGTAATGGGCACTAAAACAGCCTGCCAGAAGACAGAAGGTATGAGAAAGGATAAAAATTGATACTCTTATGCGAGAGCACTGTTTACATAATGTTAAGAATGACGCTACTTTGACAGAACCCCCCCTCCCCCCAAACATACACACAAATACACTCTTCGCCGCTCCCGGTTGAAGGCATAGCGGCTATTTTCACTCCCAGGCCCACATGGATAGACAGATAGATAGATAGATAGATAGGTAGATAGATAGATAGATAGATAGATAGATAAATAGATAGATAGATAGATAGATAGATAGATAGATAGAATTTTCCCAAATACGTACCGCAATTTTTCACGTCTTTCAAGTCACAGCGAGCCGAACTGGCCACAAGGGTATCGGCGTCCTTCAGTTTCCTCGCGACAGACATTATTCCGCAGTGGCACTGGCCTGAGACTGGCCTGATTATTCTGGGTAATGAAAGGAACCAAATGGTATTGCCGTAAATCGTGTGAAAACATCGCTATTTTACCGCACGAATAGTGCCTTATTCTTTTTATTGAAAGTGTTCGACCAGGTTCAGAAAAACAACTTTCCTAAGCCGGAACTTAGCTTTATTTCGGGCTCACCAAGTTCTTAATTTATTAGCCTCTTCGGTGTTTTGTGGTATTCAGGGTTCCGGGGGTCCGTATTATGCATAGACAACAGGGTGTCTTAGAAAAAGACATTTAAGAACTTGGTCCTATTTGCACCAACGTCAACACAAATTTGTCAATATAAAGAAAATCGACAGATATATTCAAAACATATTAAGTATTTAAATTTCCATCCAAAATTGAGTCAAACGCAAAATTTCTTAACAATCCTTTAAAATGTATGTGTGCTTTAAAGAAGGAAGTTAATTAAACTCGCATTACTAAGCAAACTCAGGATGGGTGTGATTATCTAAATTATATGTTCGAGGTGTTAATATTTTCTCCCCAGACAGGCTCGAATACGCCGCTGGAAATTTTGAAGCACCCAGTTGTATGTTTCTGGGTCGAATTTACGGACTTCCTTTTCAACATTGCTTTTCAACTGTTCAATCGTCTCTCGGTTGCTTCCCTAGACTCTTGTCTGTCAAAAAATCCCAAAGGAAATAATCAAACGTTCCAAGTCTGGAAAATACGTTGAGCATTCCTTTGAAAGCTTTATGATTTTAAATATAAAACGTTACCCAAACTTTTCTCGAAACCATAAAAAGGCCACTCTTAACAAACAGGGTGTGGCCCCATCCTACTGAAACCAGGCCTCCTCAACAGCATAACAACACATACCAAAACTTCTGCTAAACTTTCTCAGCACGGTGAGATAATCATCTGGTGTGACAGTCGTAGTTTTTTAAAAACTGTCCTTGTGCTGAAACCAGAATGAGCAGATAATGCCCCCTATAGCCGAATGCTTCTAAAAAGCTGCAAAGTTTTGCGTTTTACCTATTTTTTTGGTTGGAAATGTTACCTCATAATATTCGAGCACGTAGACTGGTTGCCTTCATATTGATGAATTTGACGTCCTCGTAGTTGAATAATTTTTGCCCGAAGTTTTTTTTGTTCAATTGGTTCAAATATTACCGAGGTATTTCCTTTTACATGAATCATTTTTTTCTTTGCCTCCATGTATGTAAGGATAAGAGGAAATCTTAATACTGATTTTGCTTCCTACCTCATTCTACTTTTAACCATACGTGCACACATACACCGACATACACGCAAACAAACAAACATTCACATTCACGTACACGTACACACAAACACACACACGCACATTCACACACGCACACACATCTTCAATTCTTTCTCTCCCTCTCTCTTCTCTCTTTTCTCTTCTATCTACTCTTTGTCTTGCTGTCTTTCTTCTCTCCCCCCACCTTTCTCTCTCTCCCTCCCCCCCCCTCTCTCTCTCTCTCTCTCTCTCTCTCTCTCTCTCTCTCTCTCTCTCTCTCTCTCTCTCTCTCTCTCTCTCTCACTTTTAATCATGAATAATGAAACCTCTTATTTTGTTTTTATTTTTCTTTAAATAAGTTAATGCATGGCTTTCGGGCAGGCAGACTGGCTTTTCTCTAGAGTAGCGATCAACTCCATATTGAGAAAATAGGATTTATTCCATCTCGATGAGCATTGTAATTACTCCCTGAGTAGATCACCGTCTGTCTTTCTTGTGTTGTTCAATTGTGTGCCATGTCTGTGATTTCACTTCCCATTTCCTCTATCCATTTAAAATAATCATAATCGTATTGCCTGTCTGTCTAAGTAAGAACGTTTATTCTGTCCTCCCTTTTTCTGTTTTCATAAGTGTTTTACGGCACTCGCAACTGCATAAGGTCATACAAGTGCACGAAGACGCTACTGGTCATAATGAACCCCTTAGTGGTTTATCTGTCTGCTTTTTTTTGTCCTTTATCCTTCGTTCGTTCAAGCTCCAAGTTGTCTTCTGCCTCCCTTCTTTTTGTCTGATTGTTTAGCTGTCTGTTTCTCTCCATTTCTCAAGCCCTCTCCCTCTGTCTCCCTCTCTCTCTCTCTCTGTCTGCCCCCCCCCCTCTCTCTCTCTCTCTCTCTCTCTCTCTCTCTCTCTCTGAGTGTCTCACTCTCTCTTTCTTTCCTTCCTCCCTCTTTCTATATGACTGTTAGTCTGTCTGTCTGTCTGTCTCTCTTGCTTTCCCTCTGCCTGTCTGTCTGTCTTTCTTTCTGTCTTTCTTTCTTTCTTTCTTTCTTTCTTTCTTTCTTTCTTTCTTTCTTTCTTTCTTTCTTTCCATTCTCTCTCTTTCTATCTCTATCCCTGTCTCTGTGTGTCTGTCTGTCTGTCCGTCTGTCTGTCTGTCTGTCTGTCGCTCTCTCTCTCTCTCTCTCTCTCTCTCTCTCTCTCTCTCTCTCTCTCTCTCTCTCTCTCTCTCTCTCTCCCCCTGCCCCCCTGTCTATCTGTCTGTCTGTCTGTCGCTCTCTGTCTGTCTGTCTGTCTGTCTGTCTGTCTGTCTCTCCATGCCCCCTGTCTATCTGTCTGTCTGTCTGTCTGTCTGTCTGTCTGTCTGTCTGTCTGTCTGTCTGTCTGTCTGTCTGTCTGTCTGTCTCTCTCTCTTTCTCTCTCTCTTCCGGATTCTCATACAGAGTGTTTCTGTCCTCATGATCAAATCCCTCCATCTGTTCCCTATTTTCTCCAGCCGTCTCATGTTGCACCAAATCCATCATTACAACGGAACGAGTTGTAACATTCCCGACATATCCTCCGTCGATCCTTTTTGTTCACCGAAGCAAAAAAAAAAAAGACTATCAATTATAACATAATATAACATTAAAGGAACACTAATAAGGATGATAGCCACAGCAACCACAGCAACAACAGCAGCAACAGCAACACCAGCAGGGGCAGTTAATTCACACTATGACGTGGGTATTTGATCATGATCAAGTGTGATGATACTCTATCAATTTAGGGTTTGCACCACCTGTTGGCCAGGCGCTCTATTTGTCTGTTTATTACAATTCACAGCCTTTCACGTATAGAAGTTTCCAGGCGGGTTAGTTGATCCGGGGATGGCTTTTTGTTTGCCTATATTTATTATTTTTTTCGATTCGTGTTCACATCCTGCCGCCAATGTGCCTGCCAAGTTGTCGGTTTGGCACTTATTTTGTTTGCTGTTTTGCTATGCTGCCACTACGAGATCGTTCTCGGGATTTTTTAGTTTTTTGGTACAAGGAAGCAGAGGTAAAATTATTGTGTTACGAGAGCAAGACTGTAAATGAAAGAAACAAAAGAAGTGAAAGTAAAAAATTGCTATTGCGGCTGCTCTTTAATGAAGTTCATGCGTCTGAGCCTTCAGGTTATTCGCAACAAAATAGTTCCTCAAAACAGGATATTTTGATACCTTAGCCAGAGGTAACAAATGAAACCGTGTGAGTGCTGTGCATAATATGATCTAAACCAGTGCTTTTCAACCTTTTTACTGCCAGTGCTCACTTTTGCCGCCCTAAAGAAGTTTAAGGTGTCATACCAACCATCTACATGTACATGTGTATTTCCCAGCGGAGCATTACAGAAAACCAGACATTACCAAGGTGATCACCACCGATAATCACTGGCTACTAGTGGACAATATCGCCACGGTTGGCAAGAACTGGTCTAAATTCATGGAACGAATTGTCAATAGGTTGGTCTCCAAATGCCACACCTAATACTTGGCTTGAACGAGAAATTGCTAGGCGCGGTTAAAGTGCAAGATTCTACTCAGAAAGCGTCGCACAGCATAATAACTAACACTTGCCCCGTTCGCCTTTTTGTCAATGTTGTTCTCTCATCAAATCATCGGTATAACAAGACTGATTTAAAAAACCCACCAAAAACAAAACACACAACTTACAGAACATCAACTCCGTCATCAAACAATACGGCCTGGGCCACGTCTTCCGCATTGAGATTCCCTCTGTCCTTGCAGGTTATCACCTTGACGTCGCGAGAACAGGACTTCGGGAGCGGGGGCGGAGTGACCTGATTTACAACTGCCGCGTATGCGCAGAGGGTGAGGGCGATGAATGTTGCAAACTGTATCAGCCATTTTGACATCATCACATCCTGACTCAAGGATAAAACAAATATGTATTTGTTTTACAAACAAGAAGTAAAATGGATCAATGTATCAACGAAACCTATACCGATGGGCCCGCTTTCGAAATAGGTAGTTTTAGTATAAACTGTCTAAGGTGCAAGGGGGTGGATTACTTGAGAAAATCTCAAAAAGGTTGTATTAAAAGCCCCGGCAGAACGATTTCTTGAATTTCTTGCATTTCTTCTTCTTCTTCTTCATATTTATTTCTTTATTTCTTTATTTCTTTATTTCTTTATTTCTTTATTTCTTTATTTATTGGTTTTCAGTGCAAAGGCTTTTTTCCAAAAAAGTATAGTAAGACGTTAAACGCACAAAAACAGCGAAAGAAAACGTATACCATTTTCTCTAATTCAAGCAAATAAAATTCTCAGGTTCTGTTTCCGGCTTAAACCACAATGTTTCATTGTTGCACTTCTGATTATCTACTGAGCTCTCGGCATATAAACAACTAATTAACCTTCCACGATACATTACTCTTGTCATGTATAATGAACCATGTCCAGGACGGCCGAACGCGTGGCAGACGTGTGGGTGGACTACATAAGAGCTGTTACAGTGGTAAAAAAAATACGTGAAAAATAGGATTAGTTCAATAACTTTCTAGTGAGTAAGAGTGCCACTTCTCTAACCAAGCGAAAGCGGAAGTATACGAATGAATAATCATGTCAACAAACAATTCGATTCTGAGCATGCCCTTTCAAGAAGTTCATGTGTCTGAGCCTACAGGTTATTTGCAACAACATATTTCTACTACACGCTTCATTTTAATGCCTTCGCCCGAGGTTTTCACCACAGACGAGATCGGGTATGTGCTGTACATAGTATGGAATGTTTACTTATTATTCCCTGACGTGTTTGAAAAAACGCAGTGGTGGGCTCGGTTTGCAGATGTTGAACTTTGTTTGACTACGTAATATAATATAATTCTTTGTCTTCTGATTTCAAAGGATGGAATGTTGGCATAAGCCAGAGGATCTCCACAGGAAATGTGCAGAAAGCTCCTATAGCCAGGCTGAGACATTTGTTCTGTATGGCGTCCAGCATCTTTAAACTGTGAGGTCGTAGTCCATCTTGTTTAGGTGAAAAGTTTAGACGGAGGAGATGGCCGGAGTCTCCGCGCCACTCTGGATTAGGTAGAATTTTAGCAGGTCCAGTGCTTTCTCACACCTCTCGCGGATGCCTTTAATATGAGGTATGAATGTTAATTTTTTGTCAAAAATTCCCGTTATTGGAAACGAGCCAGGTCATGGATGGAAATGGGGCGTCGGTAACCAAGTGTCTAGGCGTGAGATTGCGGGTTCGGAGGTTCGAGCCTCTGCTCAGTCAGACGTTGTTTCTTTGGGAAAGGCACATTACATGATCCTGTTTGGCAGGAGGTTAACAATTACATGGGAGGAATAGGAAATAAATGAGGAGGTACTTAAATAAGCCAGAGAGAGAGAGAGAGAGAGAGAGAGAGAGAGAGAGAGAGAGAGAGAGAGAGAGAGAGAGAGAGAGAGAGAGAGAGAGCCGCTCGCTCATAAGAAAACGATAAGGAAGAGACAAAAGTGTTTTTTTGAGACATTTGATTCGACATAAAGGTCTTTAAAACTTTTCTCTCACTGATAAAAGTTAAGGCAAACGAAGCAAGGTTAGCAATTTACTTAGTAAACCTGAACAGACGGGTAACGGGGAAAGACCAGGACAATAACATAATTTAAACTATCCTGGCAAACGCATGAATGGCGGACTGTGATCACCGATGTCTGTTGAAGATCTGTAATGTTGGAATGTTGAAATGTCTGTATGCTGAGAAACCCAGTAAATGTTTCTAGCTCTAGAAATAAGAGACAACGTTGGCAACAGGACAGGGTGAATTTTGAACGGACAATAAGTTGAAAGGAAGCACGACAGCTCAGTGATGATAATTTAATGTTTTCATTTGCTCAAAAAGTCGCATGTCAACAGCAGAAGTGTGGTACTTATATAAACATGATTAGGTACTCTCTATCTAGTATATTTTGTATATTCAAAGTCCAGATGAAAAACCGTTTTCATCAATTATTGTGCAAACATCACATGTATGGCATTCACCAGAGGACCATCAGAATCCCTTTTGATTTCTGTTGACTGTTCCTAGAACCGTACCAGCTTCTGGGGCGTCTTCCTCTCCCTACTATTTATCCTGCCCATTTTCAGCAATTACTCTCCTTCTGTTGTCTGCGTTGTAGATTAAATAAAAGAGTAGATTAAATAAAACAAACACAAAAAAGGAGTGGATCAAAAATAGGCACGAAAAAACTATTTACACCTTACTAAATATGCTAACAGTTTAAGAACTAGTTCAAGAATTGGAGATTCGAAACCCATATATTAATAGGATAATCAATCTTTTCCTTAATCCCTGCATGCAACTTAGTCTCTCATTTTTCAGTCTGGTTTTCTGGAGCATGGGTAAAGAACATATTACTCAACAATACCAAAGAAAAAACAACAAAAAACAACCCCCCCCCAAAAAAAAAAAAAAAAACCAACAAAAAAACACCCAAAAAACCACGCACTGTCAGCCGTAGCTCCAGGCGCGAGCGCTGGCCAAACAGAAACATTGTTATCCCTGTATTACCTCCCTTGTGATGCATGGAGAATGCGTAACCTTTTGGAGCATAATGTTAACCAGTCTAAACGTCTCTCTCCCCCCCC